GTAAAATTATACCACCAAGTTTCGACACCCTGTAAGAGAATACTTACTTACCAGTTTTAAAAATGTAACTACAGCCACCCCTAAAAACTAAATAATTTATTTACAAAAACCCCTCTTCCCCCCCCCCCCCCCTTTCCCCCACCCCCCAAAAAACCCCCCTTTTTTTTTTCCCCCCCCCCCCCCCCCCCCCCCCCCCCTTTTTCCCCCCCCCCCCCCCCCCCCCCCCCCCCCCCCCCCCCCCCCCCCCCCCCCCCCCCCCCCCCCCCCCCCCCCCCCCCCCCCCCCCCCCCCCCCCCCCCCCCCCTTCTCCCCCCAACCCCCCCCCCCCCCCCCCCCCATTTCCCCCCCCTCTTTTCTAAAAAAATATTTTTTTTTTCTTACCCCCCCCACCCCCCCCCCCCTTTCCCTCTTCCCCCCCCCCTCCCCCCCCCCCCCCCCCCCCCCCCCCCCCTCCCCCCCCCTCTCCCCCCCCCCCTGGCTGGGTGCCCCCCCCCCCCCCCCCCTTCCCCCCCCCCCCCCCCCCCCCCCCCCCCCCCCCCCCCCCCCCCCCCCCCCCCCCCGCCCCCCCCCCCCCCCCCCCCCCCCCCCCCCCCCCCCCCCCCCCCCCCCCCCCCCCCCCCCCCCCCCCCCCCCCCCCCCCCCCCCCCCCCCCCCCCCCCCCCCCCCCCCCCCCCCCCCCCCCCCCCCCCCCCCCCCCCCCCCCCCCCCCCCCCCCCCCCCCCCCCCCCCCCCCCCCCCCCCCCCCCCCCCCCCCCCCCCCCCCCCCCCCCCCCCCCCCCCCCCCCCCCCCCCCCCCCCCCCCCCCCCCCCCCCCCCCCCCCCCCCACCCCCCCCCCCCCCCCCCCCCCCCCCCCCCCCCCCCCCCCCCCCCCCCCCCCCCCCCCCCCCCCCCCCCCCCCCCCCCCCCCCCCCCCCCCTCCCCCCCCCCCCCCCCCCCCCCCCCCCCCCCCCCCCCCCCCCCCCCCCCCCCCCCCCCCCCCCCCCCCCCCCCCCCCCCCCCCCCCCCCCCCCCCCCCCCCCCCCCCCCCCCCCCCCCCCCCCCCCCCCCCCCCCCCCCCCCACACCCCCCCCCCCCCCCCTCCCCCCCCCCCCCCCCCCCCCCCCCCCCCCCCCCCCCCCCCCCCCCCCCCCCCCCCCCCCCCCCCCCCCCCCCCCCCCCCCCCCCCCCCCCCCCCCCCCCTCCCCCTTCTTTTTTCCCCCCCCCCCCCCTTTTCTCTCCCTTCTCCCCTCCCCCCCTCTTCTCCCCCCCTTTCCCCCTTCCCCCCCCCCCCCCCCCCCCTCTCTCCTCCCCCCCCCCCCTCCCCCCCCCCCCCCCCCCTCCCCCCCCTCTTTCCCCCCCCCCCCCCTCCCCCCCCCCCCTTCTCCCCCCCTCCCCCCCCCCCCCCCCCCCCCCCCCCCCCCCCCCCCCTCCCCCCCCCCCTCTTCCCCCCCTTCCCCCCCCCTCTCCCCTCCCGGGGTAATAAATATGTTCCACCTTTAAAGATTCACCCTGTACCTATGAACACATTTTAAATTTAAATATAGGTATAGTAGAGTTCAAGATTTAAGTCCCAATTGGGCATCTTTTAACTATTTATAAAAGAGACCGCGGCAAGATAAAAGAGACCGCCAGCTATAAAAAAGGATAAAGGATGTGAAGCGGCAAGCCTTTGATATGAATTGGGACTTATTTTTTGAATCCTGCTATACCTATGTATGCCGTGAATGATATAAGTTACCTTATTATTTTCATTAAATGAAAACACTGAGGAGAAAAAATAATTTACCTAGGTGCATACCAAGGTAAAAATTATTAAGCCAATAAAAAATTGGAGTTTTTAGGACTTTTCTATTTGCTGAGAGACATCACACATTACAAAAATTATTATTCCGTGGTATGATGTCGTTATACATAATATAATAATTATTATTGTAATATACGTGATATTTTACACAATGGGTTTGTCATAAAATGAAATAATGGAATTTAAAAAAATCCGCCAAAACTTGTATCAAAACAAAAAGTCGGTTTCTTCTATACTCCTACCCATTGTTTTGTAAACAAGCGTCCCACAGCAAGCTGCTACTCATAAAAAGCAGATCCAGGCGACAATACTCTACTCTGATTGGGTAAATGGACTCCCTCTTCTGACGTTGTACTAGTGGGGGCTAGATCGATCTCTTCGTGCGGCCGGCGTCATTTTCCATTCTCTTTCTCTTCTTGTACTCCAGAGAGTTAGACGTGGTGTCAGTTAGTTTCGTAGTTATAATCTCAAATAGTGAAAATATTTATATATAATGGCTGCCCAAGACTGTCCGATGGAAAATGGAGAAGATTTTTCTAAAGACGTTACCGATCAAAATTTCCAAAGTCAAGAAAATGGCCAACAAAACGGTGCCGGTGACGCTCCCCCAGCCGATAGCGGTAGTGCGGATACTCCTGGCCGTGACGATGATAGGTAAGTAAAAAATATAAACAAATCAAATTTGTGCCTAAATAGTTGTAATAATTATTGTAATAGTTATTGTCGAGTATGTTAAGTTTTCTTAGAGTTCGGAGCCGATCCTTTGTATCCATTGATTTCTTCGAATTTCAAATCTAGGTTCATCTGTAAATATGAAGTAATTTGGACTCGTCTAATGATATAACTTTTTTCTTTAGCACATTAGTAATGTTAGTTTGTATGTATTTTTTGTTTTTAAAAGTAAAGTATTTGGCACTTTAATCAAGAATTTAAGGCGATGACCCTTGTCGTGAACGCAAAAGGAAAATGGCGGATGACGCTCAATGTTCAATTTGGCGCGTATTTCGAATTTCCAGTTGTAGATGTAGAACTTGATTCAAGGTACTTTACCGAAGACTGTTTTCTATTTTCAGCTATCAGTAGTAATCATACGGTTTAATATTAAATTTGCCTTTCAGCGGATTTAATTATTAAATTTCTAATTTCTCTTGGGTTTTAACTTATCAAAAATCGGGACCGGTGTAGGATGCCAGGTTTTAGGATACCAAGCTTATCCAATTTAAACATACTTCCTTTTCTCCAGGTGGCTGAGACAGCTAAGTGGAAGATGGATTTGAGGAGGACATGGAACGCTAGGACCCATGGTATTTATCCTTGGGCACTTCTTCTGCCACACACTTAGTAACTCTACGTTAATAACTAATTTTGGACAATATACAGTCATGTCCTTTTGTCAAATTTGTTTAACATTAACTTTGCTCTTTAGATTTTGTCAAGATTTTTTTCTCTGCTTAAAATGTAAATTTCAGATCACTTTGATTGAGATTGCAGATCCATTTGATTGAACTTGGAATATAACTTTGCAGTTTCTCATTTTTCTACATTTTGTTGTATAGTAAAATTAAGAAAGTTAATTTTTAAGCATTATCAAATAAAAACATATAAAGATAAATGCTTAGGAAACTTTCTAGATTCAACAATACTAATTATTCAATTTTTACTTGCAGAAAATTATTTGTTGGCGGTTTAAGTTGGGAAACCACAGACAGTAAGTAATTTTTCATCTTTATTACATTAAGTAAATTTTAATTTTTAAAGTTATCCATTTAACTTGTATTCATGATAATGTACACTAAATGGGTAGAAATATTTTGGTCATGCTTCATGATATGACCCTAGGCAGAGAAAAATCATCGATACAATTTATTTCAATCGTTTTCATAACCCTCTCCTAGACATTTTACATTCGGTATTTTTTCATATGATCCTTTTTGTTTTTAATGTTCATGATGATTTAACAATAGTCAGTTCTGCTACTGAGTACATTTGATGTCCATTTCTATTGCTGATGAATTCGGCTTCATACATTGATTTACATTCATGTTTAACATCTGCTAACTGGTTGGTTTTTACAGAGGAACTCAGAGATCACTTTGGCCAGTATGGTGATATAGAAAGTATAAACGTTAAGACAGATCCAAATACTGGTCGATCAAGAGGTTTTGCTTTCATTGTATTCAACAACGCCGAAGCAATTGACAAAGTAGTAGCTGCTGGCGATCATGTAATTAATAACAAGAAAGTAGACCCAAAGAAAGCCAAAGCGAGGCATGGTAAAATATTTGTTGGGGGTCTTACGCCAGAACTTTCAGATGACGACATCAAGGGATATTTTGGACAATATGGAACGGTAAGTTTAAATCAACAATTAACATTTGTGATATTTTGTTTTTAGGAGAAAATTTTCAATTATTTGATGCATGTTGTTTTTTTATAGATAATTGAAGTCGAGATGCCCTTCGATAAGACAAAGAATCAGAGGAAAGGATTCTGCTTTATCACATTCGAGTCTGAACAAGTTGTAAATGAACTTCTAAAAACGCCGAAGCAAACCATCAAAGACAAAGAGGTGAGCTAAAAATGTTTTTTCAAAGCTTTAATTTAAAGTTGATATAAATTGTACAGTCTCACATAAACACTATTCCCGTGCGTAAACAAACAGGTTTATTGTTAGTTTTTCCGAAGACAAATCTTTTTAAAAAATGCGATGAAACAACACTCGACATCAAAGTGACTAAATTGGAAGCCATGTCAGGATTGAGAATCAAATACTTAGAAAGTGAAATGTCAATTACAAAATATGAAAGATTTCCCACGGGAAGGTCAATGGACAACCGCATATTTTACTTGTGTAGTGAAATGTCAATGTCCAAACAATTCTGGCCCAGGGGCACCGGTAATAAATTTAAACCACAAGTTTAAAATAACTTGGCCATTTTTGGCAATATCAAAAAAGTTTATTTAGGATTTATATTCCTGACAACTTACTATTACCCCTAAAAATATGTCCTGCTTTTAAAGATTCACCCAGTATATGAAGTATCCACAAAGTGCAAAAGTTGGTCTAAATTTGCCGGTAAAATATACATAGGCAGTTCTGTTTCTATTTGATACATTTCTATTTAAATTATATTGGTAGTTTTTGTGAAAATTTTATACATTATATAGTAAATTATGTAAAGAACGGTAGCCCGAATAGGAGAATTAAGGTGTGGACGCGCGGTAGCTCAGTTGGAAGAGCATTGGTCCGGAAAGGTCCCAGGTTCAAGCCCCGGCGGCGTTAAGCATTTTTTTCTTCTACATTTTCCTACAATTATTTCGGATATTAAGCCGTTTGCGCATGCCAGTACAAAACGTCTGGCTTTTAAAAGGTTTTCTGACGTGTAATACCTTATTAATTGTTTTGCCAACTTTTTTCAAGTAAATTTATTTGACGTGATTTTTAACACTTATTAGCTTGACCTGTAACATTGTAAGCAAATCTTTTAATCCATTTTTGACTCACTTTTGATTGACATACAATCAATTTGATACTTTGTGAATTTGTGCAATTCTGGTTCCTAGAACCAGTCAAATCAGTTACCAACTATCAGAAACTGGTTGAGGACATCATTGCACCATTAAGCTTGTATGTTGCTGGAGGTGGTTGCATTTTTTGTAATTTTTTTATTGTCGTGCTTTTTGTGAAAGGAAGTAGTATGTTTTTTTTGTACTTCAGCCTGGGCAGAAATTTATGATAGCGCGATGACCTCTAGATGTAAACAAATTCAACGAATATACCGAACTACAGGGGCATACTAATTTTTTTTCTTGAAGGGGTTAAAATGTCCAACTTGATTACACATTACACATAATATATTTCCATCACAGGAAACCTTGTTTTGTATAAATACACCAAATTTCTACGTAAGTAATGGGAAAACCTACTTGAAAAGTTCAGCAGAGATTGACATAACTTTGTCTTTCTTCATAAACAGACCAAAAAATGTGAGCTAACAGTATTACTGGCTTTTGCACTGGTCCATATGCAAGGAAAGGGGGGGTTAAGGCATGACACTTGCCTCTTCCCCTCCCCTGGAAAGTTGATTTGTCGATTTGTGTTTATAACTCATAAAATATTACAATTTAAAATCATAAAGCATAACAAAATTAAAAATAAAATATTACTTTGGTTTAATTAAAAAAATTAGTTTCTTTTTTTATTGCGATATATGTATTTTTAATAATAAAAATTTTTAATTTATTTTACCTTCCAGCTTATGCACTGGGCAACAAGAACTTGCTGTGAAAGTAAAAATATAAAAGGTTTTGAATTAATATCGTCGTTTTGCCGATTCTTGCGGTTTTGATACCTTTAGGGTCATAAAGTTGGTCTGCACCGTTTAATAATATCACCTATGTGCTACTCTAAAATGTTTGATATTTAACATTAACAGAAAGTCCCCATTTTGATTTCAACAAAATAGGAAGGCGCCAATAGACGATAGAGTTGTACGACTACATGTATCTGGGAAGCAGCACATTACATCGTATATACTTCAAGATTCCCCATTAACTTTGTCGCATTCTGTATGATAATTATAAAGAAAAACGTACTATTTAACACATACGCATAAATTACATTATGTATTTTTTTTCTTGCTAACCGCATTAAAAATTTGACTTTTTTACACTTCTTTTTAAATCAGAACCGTGAATAACATTTTTTAGATGTGCTAAATTATTTTTTAAAAAATCAGAATTTTGCCATTTAAATATGACATTGTATTGTGCTGTACTGGGTCATTGCGCTATCATGAATTTTTGCCTGTAGAATGTTACACTATTGTGTAGTAGACTCCATTTCACGAAATATATTGTTTTGATAATATGTTGCCAAAAATTTAATCCGTAGCAACAATGTTGCCTAGGATATCAATTTTTATGCAAATCAACAAGCTTTACTCTTATCTGGTGGAGAAAATTTTTCATATTTTGGTTTAAATTTTATATTGTTTTACTGGTCGCATTCACCGGACGTAACAGTTGCGTAGCTGTAGCGGAAAAGTACTCTGACGGATACGCTACTACTCAACATGTTGAGTAGCGGTCGCCATTTTTGTAGCACAAATTATTTATGTTACAAGTTGTGAGCGTTTGTGAAAAAGAAGTAAAATATAAATAAATGAATACATCAAAAATGTAAAATTTCCATGGTGAACAGATTCAGAATGTTACGGAGACTGAAGAAATAGCTTAAATTGCCCTCAAATTACAAATAACTGTTAATAAAAACGATGGCACACAAATTGTTGATTTAAAGGACATTGCAACGCTCCGTAACAATATCGGTAGCGGTCTATGCTATCGTCCGCTGAATGCGACCAATTTCAAAAATAGTCTATTTTTAATAGTTAAAAAAATCACAATGTGTATGTACATAGAGGGTCAGAAACATCAGAACGAAATACAGAAATGTGTAATCTGATGGTTTTTGTCTATTTTTGGTTCAAATTGAGGCGCTGCGATTTTAAATTGTTTCGCCTATGGACATTCATAGATTAAAACAGTACTACAAGCCTGTTATGAGTTTTGTTATATACATGTATATACGGTGGAATTGTACTAATATGTCGATGTTTGTTACAGGTGGATGTAAAAAAGGCCACACCTAAACCCGATCAGATGGGTGGCATGATGACCCGTGGTGGACGAGGAATGGGTGGTCGCGGTGGTATGCGTGGTAGAGGCAGAGGAGGAAGCTACAGTGGTGGTCAGAATTGGAACCAACCCTACGGAAGCTATAGCGGGTATGGCCAAGGATATGGATATGATGGTGGTTATAACAGTGGCTATGATTACTATGGAAGTGGTGGCTATGGAGGCTATGGCGGATACGATTACTCCAACTATGGCAACTATGGTAAATACTCCAACAGGCATTAATTACAAATTTGTTGGCATTATAGGCTAACTATAATGATCAGTGCCTTGTTGCTCTGTATGCCAACTTTTTAATTTGAAGAAAATGACGGGTAACGTGTGATATTCACATGAGTTGTCTGTCGTAACAAAAATTTATTTATATATTATAATAATTTACAGATAGTCAACACATGTTTTGTTTCTATACTTAATGCATGTTGACCTTTATATATATGGAAATACATTGTGAAATATTTAAAGCTTGAATAAAGCACTTGTTGAACTTAATTTCATAATGTGTTCCATTTTCCACCTTTTACCCATGCACATACATACATTTTTAAAGCTGCAACTGAATTTCATAAGTTATCACTTCTTAATCCAAATTTGTGTTTGTGCACTCCTCAACGTTTTTCAATTCTTATAGGTACTTGGTATAAGTCAATTATTGCAAGTATCGCAGCTAAATCTCATAATATTTTTATGTTGAGGTTGTTAAGAATTTATTTAAAAAAGTCTGTTATTCAAAAGAAAATATTAATTTAATGTTTACCTGAATGCAGACCAGGGCTATGGATATGATGGAGGATATGGTGGTGGGCGCAGTGGTAATGCACGTGGAAAAGGTACTTGTGATGGTGTTCTAAACGTTGAATTCTATTAATTGCACTTTTACTTTTCCAATTGATTCGCTTGTTTTGATGATGTCTCTACATGTAAAGTGCGAAATTTTTTTGTCAAAATTAATGTCCTGGATAGACACCATCAAGTCAAGACAAAATTCTGTGTAGGAATATAATTTTTGTCTTAGTAAACTATTAGCAATTTGCTAGAATCTTCCTGCTTGATTCTGTCGTAACCTGCGTTTATGATTGCAACTTTCCCTGGTTTTATACAAACTGCGTCCATATGTTTTTTTAAAGTTGCAGCTATTTAAATTTTTTTAAGTGTCTAAACTTTTTGAAAAAAAAATGTCGATAGAAGAACATAGTGCCAAATGTACAACGCAGGTGGCGAGAATATTTTGAGTTTAATTAGTGAGTAGGGATGCTATAATAATTAAATTTTTATACTGCTTCTCCTTTTCAGGTTCTGGTGGTGGTTACCAAGGCAAACAAAGGGGTGGCGGTGGTGGTGGTGGCCAACGTAACCAAAGGCATCAACCCTATTAATTTAGATTGTGATTAACAGAACTTTTTGGTAAGTTTTAAATCTTGTTCACTTGAAAATAAGTAATCAGTTGAGCTTTTCTGTTGTGCAGGTGTTTCGTATCATCTCTGTGGATTTTCCAATCATTCCATTTCATCGTGACGGCGCTTGGAAAATATCACCTACGTACAAAAAAATTTTATGTTCAACATAAAAGAGGTCATTTTATTTTTTGATATTAAAATTCAATTTGTAGGGAATCTTCGAGTAATTAAGCAGTTTATACCTTTCTGTATTATGTAAGATTTTATTTAAATAATTAAAAAAGTAGATCTAAGTTATTGTAATGTGTGCGTGCAGGAGGCGTTGTGTACTTCCAATGTATGACAAAATTTAATAAAAGAGAAAATTTATGTACATAAACAAATAATTTTTTTGCTTTTCCTTTTATTTTAAAATAGTAGTTATTAAAGCCTTGTCTTATTTTGAAAAAATGTATAGAGAAAATATCGCCATGAGCAGTGAGCACAAGTAGAGTGAAAATGATTTTCTGTTAGTTCTATAGTGCATAGTTTGGATGAAATGGACATACATTATAAGGTTCAAAATGTCGTTTTGGCACAATCAACGTAAAAGCAGTTTTTAATACATCATTATTTTGTGATACGTTTATGGCAGGCGTGATTTGTTTTAATAATATATAACAACAAAAACTTTAGTAATTTCAGATCTGTAAATTTTCACGCTGTCTGCTCTCCAGTTTCCAGGAGTGTTAAGCCACCGAGCTATATTATAGCTGGAGGAACATTAATATTCTATGTATGTTAGGGTAATACAAAACCATATTTTGCAACATTTTAAATTTTACCACTTGAGCTACACAAAAGTGTCTGTAATAATAACTAAAAAAGCAATCTTGGACCCATACAATGTAAATGTTACAAAAACGGAGATTGTGTTGATTTTATAGTTATTTTTGTATTAGGTGCGCGAAGTGTTTTTTAATAGAACATGAGAGCGCTAATTTTTTACCGAGACCGTAAACACGAATTTCGTGCACGAAATACAAACATTTTCTGTACAACTGCTTTAAGGACAAAATTTACACCACTAATGAATTTAAATATCGATATCAGTAATGCGCATGCGCCAGATGATGAATATTTAGAAGTTATTTTAGCTGTGGTTAAAAGAAAATCGGAAACCATTCTGATAACTTTCAAATAGGTT